CGTGGTAATGACTATTCTATTTTGTCCACTGATCTAACGAATATTGCTGACTTACTTTCTAGGTTAAGTATAATGTCATCAATCGTAAAAGTGATATTGGGACTTTAAGCAGATGGATCGATAAGAAGTTACACCTTAATCTGACTTTGCAAAACTCTTCTAGACATTGATAATGCGGTGTAAGATTTTCTAAATCTTATGGACCAAACTGCTTTTATATCGACACCCAGAAATTTTCATGAGTTAACCTTGAAATAAGGCATACGATCAGACATAAGAGGAGATTAAGAAGACAATGGCAAAAGGAATTTGAGTAGAGTTAAGAAGAACCTGCGACTACGTCTTGCTGAGATGAGAAGTGAACAAATTAATTCAACAAATTTTTCAATCAACATCAGTTCACACATTTTCAATGAACATTACTTATGGTGAGCTACTAAACATCATAAACGACCTGGCAACCGAATTGTTCCTTTAAGAGACATGTCCGGAAGTTGATGCAGAAATGAATATAATGAGGGCTAAAAATTTCGCTCGGTATTTAACTTTTCAGGTTAGTAACATGTGTGGAGCTTGAAACGCAGAGAAAGTATTGAAAATTCTAGACAGCCCATGTACCATGGATTGGCCTATTAGACATATATCGGATACTGAAACCAAAGTAGAAGTGAGCAAACGAAGCGTTAAGAAATCCCCTGGTTATGATTGCAAAAGGTCTCTCATCCTCTTAATATTAATTTTTATTGGTATTGTAACGTAAAAAGCCCTTTTGTGATTTTTACGTTTTGAGATTAACTCGTTTTGAGATTAAGTTCCTGCAATTGCGACTCTTAGGAGATCTTTTTATTGTCATAAAAAGTCAAATCACCAATTGTGGGTTTTTCGTAACATTACGTTAAGATTGTGTCACTTTTCAAGCAATGGGAAATGCGTAGAAATATTAATGATGGCCAAGTCTAATAAGATAGAAAGTGCTTTTAGACCAAATAGTTTACTGGTTCCCTTTACTAACATATATCTATGCCGACTACACCCCGTTCTAGAGCAGAAACAAACTATTCCTGATCATCAGTTCGAAATCAGGAATAAACACGATACCATTGAGCAATGTCATTGTGTTGCTTTGTACATCAGAGAAGCCTTTGGAAGTAAAAATTATTGCGATGGTGTATTCCTTGCTGGGCGAAAAGTTTTCGATAAAGTCTGGCGCGATGGGCTATTTCTCACACCTCATGAAATTTTCTGCCAAAAGCTATGTATTTGCTCCTGAAAGCCTATTGGGAAAGCGTGCATTTCTGTGCTAAAATTGAAAATGGGAGAGTACCAATATATATATAAACTTGAAGGTGGAGTTACCCAGAAAAGTATTCCAAGGCCAATACTTTCTGCAATTTTCACTTCAGCCTTACCGATCACAATCAATATTTGGACTGTGACATACGCCAGTAACGTAGCAATCATGTTCTCATCTAGTGATCCCATAAAACTTTCCTACAAACTACAAATTCACCTAAACAGCAGTTCGCTTTAGCTGGAGCAATGGATTACCAATATTAATGCCTAAGATCCTACGCATTTCACGTTTACGTTAAACAAGAGTTCTTGCAAAGGGTTCTTGCAAAGGGTTGTTTTCTTTTCTGCACAACTTGCAGCAATATTTTCTGCTGCTTGTTTCAAGGAGCCAATGCTCTATGCAAATTGTTTACTTCCATTCCTCGGTTATTGCGTTATTTCCTTAATCGGTTACGGCAATATCTCTCAAACTTAAATATACAGTAAGTTAAGTTAAACATTAAGTTAAGATAAACTTAAATACTTTAATTAGAAATTGCGTTAACAAAAAAAAAAAAAAAAAAAAATTAAAGAAAAGAAGGAGAAAATATCTTCAGCTTTCGTAACAATTTAGCTGAGTTAACAACCAGGACACGTTTAGATTTTATTCATATTAATACGTTACGTATATAATTCGTATATTCATTCATTTAGTTAGCGTTAGTTAACGCCCTTCTTTCGATGCGCACAAATACAAATACCACCCGATTCCCTTTAACTGCTTTTTGTAAGTAAGCGCGTAGGACTGAGATGCTCTATGCTCTATGCCCAGACATAACCAGTTGTTAGAGTTTGCTTTGCTTCACTTTGCTTTATTCATTCCGTTAATTGCAAATTCAAAACACATTCGCGTTAACATATGCTAGATATTATTTTGCTTTCATTTTCGCCATTTATAAATTTATTCTTGTTGTTGTTATTGTTGTCATCACTCTGTGTGTGTTATTTCGCTGTATATTAAAAAGTATGTTTTCCTTATTATTGTTGTTCTTCTACGTTTTTCGTTTTCTTTTTTTTTTGTTTTTGTTTTTTCTCCTATTCAGCAGATTGAAAGTTTCATTTTTTTTAAATTTATTTTTTTTTTTTTTTTTTTTTTTTGATTCTTTTTTTTTTTTTTTGTTATATTCTTTAGATTTGAGTTTTGTTTTTCACAAACATGTGACATATTCTCGTTTGTATGTTTTATGAGTTTGGTGGTACTTTGTTTTGCGCGCGGACATGGACTCTAACAATAGAAACGTGTAGTATTCCGTTCGTCTTTCCCCCCTTAGTCCATCTCATATAGCAAGTTTTACAACTTACACACATGTTTACCCCAACATAATGTGCCGTTTCATCGTTTAATTAATCTTAAAGAGACTATCATTATTGGTCTTACAGACATTAATCTTTGTTAAAAGTGTCCTACAGGTCCAACGTTAGCAATAAATTTATTGTAGAAAAAAAAAAAGAAATGCAAAAAATAAAAACCTTTACTAACTTGGTGAAAAGTAGTCTAAAATATATTAAACCTAACGCTAACTTTCTAAGCAATACATGTTAGATAGTCTACAAAGTATAGAGTCATGGTAGCAGTCTTACTTAGCATCAAAGGTCTCTGATACTATAATAATTGATGGAATGAAACAATTTTATTTGAATTACGTTCTTTTAATGGTTCAATAGTTCCCTAGGTTTAATAGTTCCCTAGGTAACAATATGAAATTCCCATGGAAAATATAATGGAGTAACGACGAATACTTTTTCTCCTTCTCTTTTTTTTTTTTGCTCTTAATACATTTATTTTAATGTGAGAAAATTTTAACCTAACATCTCTCTCTCTCTCTCTTTTGCATTCAGAATCCTTAATATTTGCCTGATTATCACTCCCATTGTTATTGTAATTATTACATTATTGCACAGACTTTGCCTGTACGTCCCAGGTAGCATTAAAATCCATAAACTATCTGAAAACCCATTGAAAGCAAAGTGAAAGCTTCTTTCACATATTTTCGGAGAGAAAAATATTTTAAAAAAAAAACATGTGCTCTTTTATATGGATGTCTATATCATACAGACGCTACCGAAATACATCAATGTTTCGCTTAAATAAGCTCTCTGCGGCTTAACGGAACAAAACAAACAACAACATTATAGTCGGACAAGGCCGACCATTCAATATCCTGCACCAATTCACCTAACGCAATTATTCTTCCGTCACATCTGTCATAGACGTTCATACATTGGAGTATTCCTAAAACATCGCATCGGGTTATCCAAATTAGCAAATTTTCATTTTTCTGTTTTCGTTATCCAAAACCAGAATTACACTTTTTATCCATGCGAGGGCTTGTTTTTCATGATAATCGTGATATATGTTAGGGTCTAAAAAATAGACCTATGTAATCCGAGCTCTGTGCTGGTAATTCTTTTGATTAATTTGCTAGCATGAATCAATTTTCAATATAAAATAATAAAAATTAAAACTTTTTCTAAAGGACTTACTATTCATGAAAAATCTTGTATGGAGTGTGGTTTAGAAAATAAAATACGCCTAATCGGTTCAAATTCGGTCCGCCTAATTTTTATGTCAAATTACTATCACGAATAAATTTTCCTTATAAAACATTAATAATTGGGCCTTTTTGACATACAAGGGTTCACATTTCCTGAGAATTATTTTATGTGATATCCAAATAATTGACTTACGTGACCCATATCCCGTAAAGTTGATTTCTTTATCAATTTACTATTACGAACTAATTTTTGCCGTCATATGGAAAACGGTCGACAAAATGGACCGATCCAAACTATTGTCAATAGCGGTCGTCCTCGAATCAAAGCACCTCAGTGTACCGATTTTCATTAGAATTGTATCAAAAGTCGGAACTTGTGGATTAAACTTGTACGACATACAACCATGTAACCCATACAATGCACTTAAAAGATATGCCTTCATGTGGGGAAATAAGATATAATTTTTGTATTCTATAATAAAAACAGGAATTGCGTTAGACAATGTGGTGAAGGGTACTTTACGATCGACCTTGCCCGACACTAATCTTCTTAGTTGTTCTTCCTCTTATTTGCGACAATTCGCACACATCCCTTCTAATAAACTGAAAATATTTTACGCAGGAATCTTGAACATATGTCAGTTGTTTAAATGTTTTTCGCTATGGCCCGTGCGTGCTCCTTATGTTAGCTAATTGGTAAAAAACATTTTTCAAACTACAAATGAAATTTGTGAAGATTTAATAAAGCCTCCACAATTCTTCAGCTGCATGTGCCAAAATACTTAACATAACTTAAAAACGTTTTTGTAGAAAGTTTCAAAAAAAAAAAAGCGTTGCTACAAAACTATCCATCCAGCTTAGGACTGCAATAATAACTTATCCCTTTTCGTTAAAAGTTCTCAAAATTGATGGCATAATTGATACATAATATGATATTTGATTTTGTCAGTTTGTTTTAATTTGTCATTAAGTAACACATTTGTCTGATCCTTAAATTGGGATAATAAAATTAAACTAAACATTTATTGCTCTGATCTGAATTAAAGATCGGATCCATAGTTGAATTAAATTTCTATTTCCATTTATGTGGATTTGAGACTTCAAAGCGCAGACATAGGTTATGTATAAGGACAGACAGACGTATATAAATCGTATATAAGGATGTAAACATACCATGTTTCATGGTCGATTCTAGATGATTATGGTTATCTCTGTAGTTCATCAATAGAACGATTGCTAGCAGGGTTCAATCATTGCTCGTGCATTGCTCCTGGAAAAAAGGAAAAACATGAATTAGTTATTGAAGTGAAGTTGTAGCCCACTGTACCTAGCCCACATTTTAGCAAAGACACTTAAACCTGTAGTCTAAAAATGGTTATAACACGATTTTAACATTGCATTCTTTCAGTATTCGTAACGTACTTTTGCATAAGATTTACTAGCAATAATTTTTGGCATTTTTGGTTTTGCGTTCCCAATTAGCGACTTAGTATGTTAGTATATGTGCACGTTCGCTAAGATTACTTAATTTTAATACTTATTTTACTTTATTGTTATTCAATTTCGCAATAAATTGTAACTCAGCAAAGGCATTTTTTTTTTTAGCAAAGACACAAATCATAAAAATGTGGATTATCTTGGGGGACTAACTTCACTTCAATAATTAGTTAATAGCTAGAATGAGATAAAGAATATTCGTTTACAAACGTAAAATAAGTGCATATAAAATTTGTAATATAATCGGCCGTAAAGTTGAAGTCAATGTTAACTAATTGATAGTTATTTACATATATTTTCTGATTATTTTCTGATATTTTATCGGGTTTTTCCAATATTTGTAAGCAGCTAGGGCAGGCACTTTGAAGTGTTACATATGTCTTGAGTCACTTAATATACCCTGTAGCGCAAGTGTTGTAGGGTATAAGTGTGCATTTCTTCCACAATTTCTACTCTCAAGAAGAAGAGAAAGTCTTCGAAATTTAAATCCCTTATTTTTCTTTCTTTCAAAAGCATCTTAAGTGAGTGAGTGAGCAGTAGTACAGTAGTCAAGTCAGTCTTACACGTTCTCATCCTTAATCTTAAATACAATACAAGCAAATTTTTAGTGCGCAAAATTATTAAATAAAAATTTAAAAGAAGAATTGTTGACATTAATGTCATGGTAAATACAAAGAAAATATTTAGACATTTAATAAATATAATCCTTGTCGGAAAAGGAAGTTCAAAGTAGAATAAGGAAAAATGAAAAGAAACCCGCATACATACCCCTTGACGATATATATATATATATATATATATATTGTCAAAGTCATGTTGGTATTCATTTATTTTCATATTACTATAAACGTAAATGACACAGAAGCCCTTTCATCAGCTGCTCTAGAGCATACATTAATATCATTTATCATCGACAAGATGAAAGGCGCATCACATCACAACACATCACACCTCAAAGATAAAATTTCATATGCACTTAAATTATACAAATTTATATACATACAAGATATATATATATGTATATGAATATATATATAAAGATTATATATGTATAAAGAAATTTCTTGCTGACTATATATATATGTATATATATTGTTGTTGTTGTTTAGATTTGCAAAATATAGTTGTTGTTCGTACGTAAATGACAGCACAAGCATCAAGCATGTAGTTGATGACTTTTCGGATATCTTGATACAAACACATGTGAACATATGCGATATTTGTATGCGTATTATGCTTTTTAGTAAGTGTCATGCAATAAGCAAAGTATATAAACAGTAAAGCATATGCGTGTATGCGTGTGTGCGTGTGTGTGTTTGTGTGTGTGTGTGTATGTGTATATATGGCGTAAAAATTCAATACTTAAGAATTTGTTTTTCTTTTCAATTCTTTTCTCATTTTTAGTTTGATTTTTCCTTTTTTTCTTTTTTTGTTTGTTGCTATTTTTGTACATAGATTCCTTAAATAGAACATTAGTATATGTCTGCAAACAAACATTGGTTTCTTTCAAGGATTCATTAATGAAGAAAACCGAGTGAACATTTGGCTTCTGCTATGAATGAGATTTGATCATGAAAAGCAATAAAGGGAGGGAGCCTTGCCTAATATGAAACAAACATTAGGCTGTGTAGAAAGTTTTAAGCCTAATAAAATAAAAGAAACACAATTTTAGTTTTTCCCAAAACGATGTGATGTTTGTGTTATCAGTTTTTTGATGGTTTGTTCGCTTTGCGTTTTAGTTGAGTCAAACAATTGACAATATGCTGATTGATGCTTTTGATAATGACCATGAGGTCCTTTGTGCTCATTCGATCAGCTATTTTTAAACGTGCCAGCCACGATTGACAAATTAATAAAGCCCGGCCATTAGATGATCTATCATGTTATATCCGCCCAGACTAATAAACAACAAGTCTTCGATAATGCGACATATTCCAAAACGGGTATTAATGCTTGTTATATATTAAGGAAAAAGTGGTCTAAGAGCCATCATTAATTCATTCCATTACGCCGCTTCGCTCAATACAATTTTTCGTATAAGGCGTTACATGGAAGGTAGTAGATGCAGTTGTGCCATCTTAACCACTTGCAATAATGTTCGTGCTTGGGCCTTGAACCGACATCGGTGGTGCTAAGTATAATGTGTCATAAAAATTGCGAATTGTGGATTAAACACAAGGGTGCATAGATAGATCTCCAACGGACAGACGGACAGAGGAATGATCGAATAGACAGACAAGCTAAGATCGATTCAGAAAATGATTCTAGACCTATCAATATAGTAAAAGTAATTGGTTTATCTCAACTTCTCTTGAGCGTTATGGACATTCGCGTAAATCTCGTATACCTACCGGTGAGAAGATCTATTGAAATATGTTTCAAATATATATAGTTATCAGAATGGTAGTACGACCCTCTTAAATTAAATGACTTTTAGACTGAAAACGATAGGAATCGGAAGAGATTTTTAGGGAAATTTTCGATCACTCTCTTGTATCACTGCAATACAAGGTAGAATTTTGTAAATAGAAACGTCCAGAGAGCCAAGAAAAAGTCCAACGTCAAGGATTTCATTGTCTATCGATCACCGAATACTTGTACATGGTTTCTTGGCTTTTACTCCTTTATTCGTGTCTTCTTTCGAGATGTATGCACATAATTGATCATTTTTCAAACTCTTTGTTTCTTTTGCTTATATATAGGAGGTATACACTCTAAATGAATAGTGCGCTACACTGAAATTTGTACACAATATTAAAAATTTTTCTTTTCTTTTGCTTTCTATTTTTTTGCTTTTTTTTTTTTTTTTTTTTTTTTTTTTT